GTGTCTATTCATGTCTTCTGCCCATTTCTTAACTGGGTTATTTGTTTTTTGGGTGTTGAGTTTGACAAGTTCTTTATAGACTTTGAATACTAAACCTTTATTAGATATGTCATTTGCAAATATCTTCTCCCATTCCCTAGGCTGCCTTTTAGTTTTGTTGATTGTTTCCTTCACTGTGCAGAAGCTTTTTATCTTGATGAAGTCCCAATAGTTCATTTTTGCTTTTGTTTCCCTTGCCTGTGGTGATGTGTCTAGTAACAAGTTGCTACAGCCGAGGTCAAAGAGGTTGCTCCCTGTGTTCTCTGGGATTTTGATGGTTTCCTGTCTCACATTTAGGTCTTTCATCCATTTTGAATTTATTTTTGTATATGGTGTCAGAAAGTGGTCCAGTTTTCCCAGCACCATTTCTTGAAAAGACCGTCTTTTTTCCATTGGATATTCTTTCCTGCTTTATTGAAGATTAGTTGACCATAGAGTTGAGGGTCCATTTCTGGGCTCTCTATTCTGTTCCATTGATCTATGTGTCTGTTTTTGTGCCAGGACCATATTGTCTTGATGATGACAGCTTTGTAATAGAGCTGGAAGTCCGGAATTGTGATGCCTCCAGTTTTTTCTTTTTTCAGAATTGCTTTGGCTATTCGAGATCTTCAGTGGTTCCATACAAATTTTAGGATTGTTTGTTCTATCTCTGTGAAAAATGCTGGTCGTATTTTGATGGGGATTGCATTAAATGTGGAGATTGCTTTGGGTATTATAGACATTTTAACAATGTTTGTTCTTCCAATCCATGAGCATTGAATGCTTTTCCATTTCTTTGTGTCCTCTTCAATTTCTCTCATAAGTATTCTATAGTTTTCGGAGTATAGATCTTTCACTTCTTTAGTTAGAGTTATTCCTAGGTATCTTATTGTTTTGGATGCAATTGCAAATGGAATTGATTCCCTGCTTTCTTTTTCTGCTGCTTCGTTATTGGTGTATAGAAATGCAACAGATTTTTGCACACTGATTTTATATGCTGTGACATTGCTGAATTCATGTATGAGTTCTAGTAATTTTTTGGTGGAGTCTTTCAGATTTTCTACATAGAGTATCATGTTGTCTGCAAATAGTGAAAGTCTGACTTCTTCCTTGCCCATTTGGATGCCTTTTATTTCTTTTTGTTGTCTGATTGCTGAGGCTAAGATTTCCAGTACTATGTTAAATAGTAATGGTGAGAGTGGGCATCCTTGTCTTGTTCCTGACTTTAAGGGAAAGACTCTCAGTTTTTCCCCATTGAGGATAATGTTAGCTGTGGGTCTTTCATATATGATGGGGAGGTATGTTCCATCTATCCCTACTTTGTTGAGGTTTTTTTTTTGTTTGTTTTTGTTTTAATCAGGAAAGGATGTTGTATTTTGTCAAACGCTTTTTCTGCATCCGTTGACAGGATCATTTGGTTCTTTTCCTTTCCTTTATTAATATGGTGTATCATGTTCATTTATTTGCAAATATTAAACTACCCCTGCAGCCCAGGACTAAATCCCTCTTGATCATGGTGAATAATGCTTTTAATGTACAGTTGAATTTTATTTGCTAGTATTTTATTGAGAATTTTTGCATCCATGTTCATCAGGGATATTGGCCTATAATTCTCCTTTTTAGTGGGGTCTTTGTCTGGTTTTGGAATCAAGGTAATTGCCGGCTTTGTAGAATGAGTTTGGAAGTTTTCCTTCCATTTCTATTTTTTGGAACAGTTTGCAAAGAGATTTGTGACCCAGGATGTGATTTATTCTGGAGAATGTTCCATGCACACTAGAGAAGAATATGTATTCTGCTGCTTTAGGATGAAATGTTCTGAATGTATCTGTTAAGTCCATCTGGTCCAGTATGTCATTCAAAGCCATTGTTTCCTTATTGATTTTCTGCTTAGATGATCTATCCATTGCTGTAAGTGTGGTTAAAGTCCCCTAATATTATTGTATGATGATCAACAAGTTTCTTCACGTTTATTATTAATTTATTTATACATTTTAGTGCTCCCAAGTTGGGGGCATAAATACAATCTTTAGATCGTTTTGAGGGACAGACCCATTAATTATGATATAATGCCTTCCTTCATCTCTTATTACAGTCTTTATTTTAAAATCTAGTTTGCTGATATAAATACGGCTACACCAGCTTTCTTTTGCCATCCATTAGCATGATAGATGGTTCTCCATCCCCCCACTTTCAATCTGCAGGTCTAAAATGTGTCTCTTGTAAGCAGCATGTAGATAGATCTTGTTTTTTCATCCATTCTGATACCCTATGTCTTTTGATTGGAGGACTTAGTCCAGTTACATTCAGAGTGATTATTGAGAGAGATGAATTTAGTGCCAGTGTGGAATCTGTAGAGTTGGTGTTTCTGGTGATTCTCTCTGGTCCTTTCTAGTCTTTGTTGCTTTTGGCCTTTTTTTTCCTCCACTCGGAGTCTGCCTTAAAATTTTTTACAGGGCTTGTTTAGTGGTCACGAACTCCTTTAGGTTTTGTTTGTCTGGAAAACTCTTTATCTCTCCTTCTACTCTGAATGACAGCCTTGCTGGATGAAGAATTCTTGGATGCATATTTTTCCCATTCAGCACATTGAATATTTCCTTCCACTCCTTTCTGGCCTGCCAAGTCTCTGTGCAAACTCGATCCGTCTTCCTCCCTTGTAGGTTAAAGACCTTTTTCCCTTGTTGCTTTCGGGATTCTTTCCTTGTCTGTGTATTTTGTTAATTTGACTATGATATGCCTTGGTGATGGCTGGCTTTTATTGAATTTAATGGGAGTTCTCTGTGCTTTTTGGATTTTGATGTCTGTGTCCTTCCCCAGATTAGAGAAGTTTTCAGCTATAATTTGTTCAAATAAACCTTCTGCCCTTTTATCTCTCTTTTAATCATCTGGGACTCCCATGATACAAATGCCATTACGTTTTACTTAGTCACTGAATTCTCTAAGTCTGCCTTCATGGTCCATTACCATTCTTTCCCTCTTCTTTTTGGCTTCATTATTTTCCATAATTCTATCTTCTATATCACTGATTCACTCCCCTGCTTTGCCCATCCTCCTTTTTATGGCCTCTATTTGTGTTTGCATCTTGGTTGTAGCATTTTTAATTTCAGCGTGACTAGATTTTAGTTCTTTTATCTCTGTAGTAAGGGGTTCTCTAGTGTCTTTTATGCTTTGTTCAAAACCCAGTAGTATCCTTATAATCACTGTTTTAAATTCTAGTTCAGACATTTTATTTATATCTGTATTGATTAAATCCCTGGCCATGAGTTCTACCTTATGTTCTTTGTTTTGGGGTAAATTCCTCCATCTTGTCATTTTGTCAAGAAAAGAGAGAAAAAAGAACAAAAACAAAATAAACAAAAACAGAGAAAAAGAGAAAAAAAACAAGAAAAACAAAACTACAGAACAAGAAAACAAAAAAAAAAACCCCCCACAAAAACAAACAACAATAACCACAAAAAAACCCCCCAAAACCAAACTAGATCCTGGGTGTGCTTTGTTCTGCTTCTTAAAAGAATCTAGATCCCAAAATAAAAAATAAAATGACAGACAGAATAGACAAAAAAATAAAAATATATATATGAAAGGTATAGATATAAAAATTTTAAAAATTAATAATAAAATATTTAAAAAAGGAATTGGAAAATATAAGAAAATAAATGAAAAAATAATAAGAATAAAAGAAATAAAGAATACAAGTAAAAAGGAAGCTCGATCCTATTTCCCCTAGAGCTGAAGCTATGCAGCACTCTAGGGTCAATAAACTTGGTGGAAGCCAGTTGGTTATGCTGGTCTTCTGCGGGAGGGGCCTGCTGCACTGATTCTCAGGCTGACCTGTCTCAGCGGAAACACCTCCCCAGGACGCAGTGGGGTGAGGTTTGGTGTATGGGGCTCCGGCCTCCACTAGGTGGCGCTGTTTTTACTCCCCGAATTTCAGCGCTGCTGGGCAGGATGAATAGCGCGGTGCCCTGCCCTCCAGCCTCAGAGCTGAAAGTTCACACCCCCTACTCTTCTGTGAGCCCAGAGGATCCTCAGACCACCGTCACTCCTGGGATTCTGCCCCTCTTCGCCACCTGAGCACCTTTAATCCAGGCTCGTCTCCCATGGTAGGGAACTTAAAAGTTCCGATTTTGTGTTTCGCGGTTTCTAATACTTTGCAGTAGCCTCGGCAAGCAAGCTCCCTCCCGGCCACGGCTTCCACAGCTCTGTCTCCCCCCCAGTGAATTTCCGCACCCCCTACCTTCCAAAAGGTGGTCGCTTTTCTACTTGTAGACTGGCAGTTTTGTTCTCTCAGACCTCCGATTGACTTCTTGGGTGTTCAGAATAACTTGATAACTATCTAGCTGTGTTTGAGGGACAAGAGGAGCTCAGGGTCCTCCTACTCCGCCACCATCTTAACTCCTCCCCTCCACAACTTGTTTAAATCATCAATGAGTTCCTTTTTTTTTGGAGGATGGATGATTTTATTGAGATCGGGTTCAAATCCGTGGAATGTTCCCAGGTTATTTTCCCAGTTGGGGTTTTAAGATCATTTGTCTTCTCAGCCTAAACAAAGCTCTGTGTTGGTAGGGCTGTGAGTGTGTCTGGGAATGTGCATGCGGTTAAATTAACATAAATCATTGAAAATTATGCATTTTTTCATTATTTTGACCTTCTTGGTACTTAAGGCAATGAACCCCAGTTGGGCAAATCCTTATACATGTAACACGTGAAACAAAAATTAGCCATTCTGCGTATCATTCCCTGAATGTCCACAGCGATCTCACCCTGCCATGATGGAACATGAACGTCGGGAAACAAAACTGCCTTGAGTGGTTTTTGTGTATCTATGTATTTGTTTTAATTTCTATGAGCCTCATATCAACTCACATAAATAACTCAATCACATTCTTCTCCATAAGCAGGTGTAGGGTATAAACTCACTCAGGATGACTCAAGAATCAAACGAAGCAGCAGACCCACCGCTGCATGTCCCTTTCTGTATTTACCAGGCAAGTAGCTGCAGAGTCTCTCCATTGAGGCCTCCACCGTGGAGTTGTGAACTTGGGCAAGCTGTTCAATCACCGATACCACCGCCACACAGGCTGCAAAGGGGGGCAGAAGAACTCATCAGCGGTGTCATAAAGAAAACCGCGCTGGAGGGCGAGGGGGAAGGAAGGGATACGTGTGTGTCCTTAGGAACACCAGCCTTTCCACAACACAGAACTTTTGTTTGCTAAGCCTTTTAAAATCTGCCGTGTGCATTCAGGCACTGTGAGTTGTAGTGAAGTGTGAAGTATGCTAAGGTGGTGTGTTTGAGGATCAGAAAGATTGGTTGTCAGTTCAGTTTTGCTACTTGGAAGCTATGTGACTTTGGGGAGGTAATTGAATCTTTGTTTATTTCTATTTTGATCACATGGGAGAAAGACATGGTATTTAAAGGAGATAGTGCAGAAATAAACCAGCCAGCACAGAGTAGAAGCTCAATAGACATTGGCTTCTTTCCTCTCTCCTTTTTGTTTAGATGGCTTCATTGTGAATAGGATCATTCCCACCCCATACATGCTCAGCTGGGACCCAGGGTCAGTTTTTTAATTTTAGAAAAGTGGTGGAAATTGCTCAGCATTTGGAGTCAGAAGACCTGGTATTGAGTCCCGTCCTTGAATCTTGGACTCAGCATCCAGGCTTTCTAAGACTTGTTCTCCTCACTGCAAAGCAGGTAATAAGTTTCCTATAGGGCTGTTGTAATGATTAAGGGAGATAACAGTGCAGCTGAATGTGCTTTTGAAATCATAACACTATTGTAAAATATCATTTACCTCCCAGCTATAAAGCACTCTGCTTGAAAGCATGTGACACAATATAATATGTGTTTAGAAGGAACCTCAGATTAAATTAGAAATATATTCCTTCAGCTACCTTGATATATAAGTGCGTAGGCCCAGAAATACTAGGCTGATACCCCTTAGAAATTTCTATCACCAGCCTTGATCTCCTGAATGCTCGGGGAAGCCCAAACCTCCTTTTTCCAAAGGGAGGGGACTCTTTCTTCTATACACGAAGGGTTGGTTGGCCAAAGATCAGTAAGTCTGTGAGAGGAAATTGTTAGGCCTCCTTGAGATAAGAAGAGTGGCATTTATTAGCAGAGGTTGGTTTCTAAGGAGGCAAAATAAGGCTTATATCCCAAATGAAGAAGTTCCAGGGTGCCTGGCCCAGTAGTAATCTTGCTATTATCTATCTGCTGAAGGAGCTGGGAACCCAAATTTACATGCAGTGTCATTAAAACCAGATTTCTACCAGGACCCCTTGAGGGAAGGTGGCTGATAACAGATATGATAGTACAATTGAACATTTCTAGACAGATAAAGCTGGACAAAGCTGGACTCATCTAATCTGAGACAGTGTGATCTTGAAAACCAGTCTTACTGTTCTGAGAGCACCGAGCACATTTATCAACATCAACTATCAAGGTTGATTAGATGTGCTTTTAACCTAATCCATGCATTGAGGATTTTATTACACACAATGAATTTAGTAGCTAATACTTATTAGCACTTTATGGTCTAAAAAGCATTTTCATATATATTTTGTTTTATTTTAAAAAACATTTCAAAAATACAGATGCAATGCAATCTCAGTTTAGAAAACAAAAAACACAGAATAGTGTAAACAAGATAAACATCCTTTAAATCACCCAGAGATAAACCAATTTCATTTTTATTTTAAATATATAAAATATATTTAACATATGTGAATATATTCAACATTTATAATACACCCTTATACCTTAATTTATATCTCACCCAATCACCTCTTAAGTTAGGTGGAACCAAACAAATTTTAATAACCGCAATGGAAAAACAATTATGAATAATTATATTGCAATGTGGTAAGAGGATGCAGTGTGGTATAGTTGAAAAGGGAGAGGAATTAAAAAATAAACTTGGATTCAAATACTGGATCAGTTAGTTACAAATAGTGCAGCTTGGAACAAGTTACCTACTCTTCTGGAACTTCATTTCTAAGAGTTTAGAGTTGGACCATAAGTTCATTGAGGGTGGGAATGAGGTCTTAACTCTGACTTTGAGAATCTGATACAGTGCCTGGTTTGGAGTCAGGTGACAGAGAGGTTTGCTGACTTGAAGCAAGCTGGCTGGAATGACATTTCAGTTGTCAGTTGCTGGGGGTCTCCATAGGAAGAGCATAACGGGTGCGCCTGAAGTTGTGTTCTGACTCGGTCATTCTCCCCAACAACGTTGCTTACTCTTTGTCTTGTTGCAGGGCATAATGCATGGCTATACTCATTCTGACAGCCAGTGCTATCTCTTGAGTCAAATAGCAGATTCTGCAGCAAATAGTCATGACTTGCAGCTCAGGATCAAAGAAGGCGGTGGAGGGGCACCTGGGTGGCTCAGTCAGTTGAGCGTCTGACTCTTGGCTTTGGCTCAGGTCATGATCTCAGCGTCGTGGGATCGAGCCCTGAGTCAGGCTCCAAACTCAGCGGGGAGTCTGCTTGGCAGTCTCTTTCTCCCTCTCCCTCTGGCCCTCCCCCCACTTGCGTGGAAATGCATGCACTCTCCCTCCCTCTCTCTCTTTCAAATAAATAAATCTTAAGAAAAAAAAAAAACAAAGAAGGCAGTGGAGATTGGGTTGAAATCTTGCATAACAATCACTCCATCTGGTACTTCATCAATGAGCGGCTTCACCCAGAGTGGACTTGAAATACAAGTATGCCTTTGTTTTAATCCAGGGCTTGGAAGGATCAATGCAAAGCAAATTGTGCTGCTCAAAACCAACCTGCTTCTTTGTACGTATTGATATGGGTTTTTCTTTTATGCAGAGGAATCCCATCAAGGACTCTTAAGACTTTGGTGGCTCCTTAGCACTGCTTGCTAAAATTGGAAATCATTAGATAAAAAGGAGCCAAAAAAAAAAAAATCAACTGTCTCTGAAGATTGGGTGGATCTTGCCATTACCCTTACTCTGCCTGGTGAAGAGTTATGATCAAAAGGGCTCTGCAGAAAAGTGGGTAATGGGGTTTGAAATATGTGAACACCTAGGTTGGACTCCGCTTTGATTTGAGTCCTGCCCACTTGGACATCCCAGCCCATTTCCAGCAGGCTCAACTCCCCTTCCAGCTGGATTGTTAATTTAGGGTCTGCAGTGAGGTGTGTTTTGAATCCTTCAGTTGGCAAGGATGGAGAAATTGACTTTGCTATAGTTTCTAATAAGAGGTTCCATAGGCTTGACAAGCTAAAGAATGTTTTCCCTGGGATAGATGCATGAACAGAGTAATTCCTTCCATTACAGGCCATCCTTTGGCTGCTAATGAAAGGCCTAGCTCTGCTAAAGTGAGTTTGTCCAAGCTACTGTTCATTTAAGAAGTAATGAGAGCCGGTGAGAGCTGTGCATTTTGCTCAGTGGTCACCATCTGAAACCTCACATATGGCAAATCTCTTCTCACATGGCATCTGAGACTAGTGAGTGTAATCAAAACAGACACTCCTGATATTGTAGGAAAAGACGTGAATGGGCCCAAATAAAAACACCTGCCACAGGGATCTGCTTCTGGATGCATACCTCAGGTAGGCTGCAGACTATACCCAGAGTCCTTTTGAAATGAAACAGGACTCTTGCAAGTCTAATTATAATCATATCTGTGCTGGCTGGAAATGCAGCCACGGCAGAGAGCAGGCGAAAAGATTTCCCATTTGTCTGAAGCCCACACTTCATGGAAAAGCCTGGAAAGCACTTGGCACTCCTCAGAGCCAGGGTCAGCATGACAATACTTCCTTTATGACCCTAAGTGGGGGCATAAATAATTCACATGGCTAGAGTGTGCCCTACAGTTTTCTTTTTTTTTTTAAGATTTTATTTATTTAAGAGAGAGAGAGAGAGAGAGAGCACATGAGTTGGGTGAGAGGCAAAGGGAGAAGCAGACTCTCCACGGAGCAGGGAGCTGACGTGGGGCTTTGATCCCAGGACTCCAGGATCATGACCTGAGTTGAAGGCAGACGCTTAACCGGCTGAGCCACCCAGGCGCCCCTGCCCTACAGTTTTCAAAGTGTTTTGCATACATTATCATCTCATTCAAACTTCACAACAACTCCTAGATGTAGGAATTATTGATCTCATTTTACGGACCAGAAACGGACTCAGAGAGGTTAGTTACCTTGCCAAGTATATAGCTAGTAAGCAGGAGAGCTGGAACTGGAACAGGATATGTATTGAGTTCCTTCTAGATGGAGGCACTGTGCTGGGCTCTGAGCACATGCTGAAAACAAACTGATAGTTCCTGCCCTCTTAGAGATTATACCCTATTAGAGAAAAGTGATCGTAAACAAGTAAACAAACACAGAATTATAAATAATTCAGGTGCTATGAAGAAAAGGAAGAGTGAAGTAGCAGAGGGTAATGAGGATGGGGGTGTTACAAACCTTAGGTAGAGCCAATAAAGAAGGCTTCTCTGTAGGATGCACACGAAAGATAACTAATATAGTGGGAAGGATCATGAGGAGCTGGGGCAAGTTTTGTAAGAGGTGGGGGCTGCTGACACCTACCTCGTGGCATAAAACTAGGAAAGCCCGGCACCAGAACCCAGTGGTGAAAGATGAGGTGGGGGGGGGAAGGAAGAGGCCAGGTGTGAGGGATTTGTAGATTGCAAAAGAGCCAGGGATTTTTCCAGAGAGTGATGGGGAGCCATGACTGGGTTTGGTTGGAAGGAGCTACTGCTATCTGATCTCCGTCTTTAAGTTACCATGCTGGCTGTCACGGGGAGGAAGGCCCTTAGGGGACAAAGGTGGGAGCAGAGAGAGGAAGTAGGAGGCTATTTTGTTTCTGGAGATGATGGTGGATTGCTGAGAATAACTGAGTGGCGGTGGGGGCGGGGGACAGAGAAAAACAGATGTGGGATCTATTGTGGAGGTTCAGCCGATACAATTTATTAATGAAGTGATGTGTGAAGGAAAGAAGTATGAGGAAAAGTGAGAATCGAAACTGACTCCTTTGTTCCTGGTTTGGGCCCAGGGAGGGGCGGGGCACAGGTCTGGGAGCCACGCCACACCTGGGTCCCTGAATCCCTGGCGGACCCGCGTGACTTAGTGCG